AGGGCATGCAGGAGGCAGCCAATCAATGATTCTCTCTCATCATTGATGTTTCTATCTCTCTCTCCCTCTCCTTTCCTCTCTGAAATCAATAAATATATATTTTCCAAAAATTATGTACAATAAACATAAATCTCAACCTCATTAAAAAACAACAAGAAAACAGAAGTTACAAGCAGTGATAAAAAAATTTTTTTTGCTTATCAGCTTCAGAAGCATTTCCAAAAATGTTAATATATAAAGTTTGTGCAGTTGTGAATTCTCTTCACAAATATAAAAGGCTAATAGTACCCAGTGTTTATGAGGACATATACTATTGAAAATTGGGCAGAGCCCTTTCTAAGAATAATTTAGAAGTATAGATCAATACCCTTAAATGTATGCACTCTGCATTCCAATTTTAGGTATCTAGTCCAAATAAATAGTTACCCAAGTGCATGAAGGGGTATGTATGAGAAGAGGCATGAGTCATGGTTATATAAACTGTATTTCATCCATTCTATTGAAAACCAGCATGGACAGCATGGTTCAGTGGTTGAGCATCAATCTATGAACCAGGAGGTCACGATCAGAGCACATGCTTGGGTTACTGGCTTAAACTCCAGTGTAGAGCATGCAGGAGGCAGCTGATCAATGATTCTCTCTCATCACTGATATTGCTATTTCTCTCCTTCCTCTTCAAAATCAATAAAAATATATTTTATAAAGAAAAAGAAAACCCTGCAGCATCTCAAAAGATCTAGGAAGACTCTATGAAGTGACATGACAAGGTCTTAAAGACAAGGATAATATAGCACAGGGGGAACCAATGAGGGCTCTTGTGCCAGCCTGTATGGATTCCAATCCTGGTGCTGGCACTTCCTGGTTATCCATGCTCAGATACACTTTCTATGCTTCTGCTTTCCCATTTTTTAAAATGGGGGAAATGATAGTATGTGCCTCCTAGTTTTTTTTTTTAATGAGTATTAATTGCACCTGTTTCACAGAACTATATCAAGCATTATTAGAGCACATAGTATTAGATGAGAAAATGTAATATTTTCAATAACAACCACTATATATATGTGTGTGTGTGTGTGTGTGTGTGTGTGTACACACACACACATTTTCCGGAGTATAAGTTGACTTTTGAAACGAAAAAAAGTCAACTGAAAATCAGGGGCAAAAGACCAAAATTGCACAAAAATTACCTCCAGATCTTGACGGCAAAGTAAGTCTTTTCTTTGAAGTGGGGGGTAGTCTTATACAGCGAATATAGGCCTAAACCTATGTTTTAACTGTAAAATTAGGGGGTTATCTTATATGCTGGAAAATACGGGGTGTGTGTGTGTGTGTGTGTGTGTGTATTTGTGTGTGTGTGTGTGTGTGTGTGTGTGTGTGTGTGGTTGTTGTTGAAAATATTACATATGTATCCTACCCCCAATTGACTCCCTCAAACCTATCTCCGCTCCCCAGGCCTTCACCACCCTCTTGTCTATGTCCATGGGTTATTTTTATATGCATACAAGGTCTCAAAGCTTTAATATTAAAGATAATATTCGGATGTGAGGGCGATCTGGCTGTGACATCTGTCACCCCATTGATCGCCAGGGTTGATTCGGCTGATCTGGCTGGCTAGGCGGGTGTCCTCCTCCTCCCTCACCGATCCATGTGAGTCCCTCCCGAAGCTGCGCGCTCGGTCAAAGAGGACGACTTTCCCCCAAGATGAGAGGACCGGTCTCCGGTCAAGGCTATACGAGTAGCTGCGCTCCCCTGCTAGAACCTCCAAACAAGATAATATTCCCATATGCACATGCCCACACATGCATAGAAAATGGTCCAGAAGAACATACCTCATTAGTAACAGTATTCATTTCTGGGGAAGAGAGGAACTGCAACAGCCGTGGGGACTTGTCCTGGTAACTTTATACTTCATGCTGATTACCTGGCTGCTGAAGTAAATGTAACTTGTGTAAATACCAGAGAAAGCAATAAAATATTTAAAAACCTTAAAACCACAACCTCATGTATATGTGTATGCACACACTGCTGAACCAAAGGCAAGGCAATACAGGCTTTGATCCTAAGCTCCAAGATTTAGTGTAACAAATGTTTTCCTCAAGCAAGTTGAATGACCGTGCAATTTTCTATCCTGGTTTGTGTCTATTTTGGTGACACCAGCAACTTCCTCAGTAACATGAAAACAAATGAGTGAGGCCTTGGTTAACAACAATTTGTGCTGTTGACACGCTGGCTGCCACCTTGCATGGTGCCTCCCAGAGTTCCCTGGGGGCCAGTTTTACCTCCCTTCCCTTGGGGTCATAGTTCTAACTGCACTTCTGCATTTCCGCACAACTTCCAAGTAAAGAGGGCGGAACGCCTCACCCCGTTGTGCAGAAATACCTCAGTCTTTGGGAGAAGTGCGAGTGAAGAAAGGATCAGAGTGAGGGAGCAGCACTTTCATCAGATGCAGTGTGTCTAGGGCTTCATGTGACACTCTTGTGTCATCCTGAACAAGGAGGAAATTCACTTTCTAAAGCTTGTTATTATTAAAAGAAAATATTTTAAGAACTATTTCAACCCAAGCATTATACCACACCCATTTATTAACCACCCAGGTTTAATTGATTTAAACATTTTTACATAATAGCTTCTGTGATATTTAAAAAACCTTGCCCTACCCGGTTTGGCTTGGTGGACAGAGCATCAGACTGAAGGGTCCCGGGTTCGATTCCGGTCAAGGGTATGTACCTTGGTTGCGGGCACATACCCAGTAGTGGATGTGCAGGAGGCAGTTGACCAATGTTTCTCTCTCATTGTTGTTTCTAACTCTGTCCCTCTCCCTTCCTCTCTGTAAAAAAAACAATAAAATATATTGGGGGAGAGGGGGAGAAAATTATTTAAAACAAAACAAAACAAAACAAAACAAAACAAAACAAAACAACCTTTGCCCTAGCCAGTTTGGCTCAGTGGATAGAGCATCTGCCTAAGGACCAAAGAGTCCTGAGTTCGATTCCAGTCAAGGGCATGTACCTTGGTTGCAGGCTCCTCCCTGGCCCGGGCCCTGGTCAGGGCTCATGCACAAAACAACCATTGATGTGTTTCTCTCACCTCAATGTTTCTTTCTGTCTTTTCTTCTCTCTTCCACTCTCCCTAAAAAGTCAATGGAAAAATATCCGCTGGTGAGGATTAACAAAAAATAAAAATAAAATAAAAAACAGTCGCAAATATAGCTAAAGCTTTCTCCTCCTCCTTCACCCCATCTGCAATTCTACTTCCTTTCACAATGATAACCAGTCTCCTGAATTGAGTGTATAACATTAGCAGGCATAGTTTTAAATCTCCGCACATAAATATGTGCATCATTCAGAACCTTGGCAGGTAATTGAGGTCATCTATTAGAGGTTCTATTTGCAAAGGTGTAGGCTGTGATAAGGGAGCTGAGCAAGGGAGGGTGAAGCGCCTGGGAGGTAGAAACTGAGGGAGTCGTTATCATGCCTAGGCTTGGAGGGACACAGGGAGAATTAATCACTACAGGCCTAGAAGGACCTGCCACCATAGGTGCAGGCTGCCTGACAGCAGCTGTGGCCCTCAGTGAACAAATGCAGCCTCTGCAAGGGTTAGGGGTATAATAGTCAGCCCCCTCGCCCCTTCTCAGACTTCTACTGGTGCCTCCTATTAGATGAGCCCAACTAAAGCCAGAGGGAAGAGAGCTGGAAGATGAAGTCCATAAAGCCTCCCAGGGCCAGAGCGTCATAGAGAAGGCTGGCAGGTGGATCTGACTATTGAAAAACAAAACAAAGCACTGTTTGTATGTTTTACAAATTTACTTAAATGATGTCGTATTTTTACTTTTTTTTTTTTTCTGCCATTTGTTTTTGTTCATTTGCCATTGTATTTTTGACATTTATCTATGCTGAAAAAAAAAGTGTAGCTCTAATTTATGCATTTATTTTATGGCCTTATAGTAGTCCATCATTTTACTATCATGAGAAATGCTGCATTGAACAGGCTTAGGTACACATGGCTGACTCATATGTGCAAGAACCTTGCTTGGGTACATACATGGAAGTGTGCTTGCTGAGTTGAGATTATGTACATCTTAAGTTTACTAAGTATTGCAAAATTGCTACCTGTTGTAATTATTACAATTTTTCCTCCCACTGACCAAGTATGAAAGCCACTGATTCTTCACTCTCACCACAGGTGATGTTATCTGAATTTAAAACTTTGCTAAACTAATGGCTCTGAAATCATAGCTCATTGTTATCTGAATGTGCATTTTCCTGCTAAAGAGTGCCCCTTCCTATGCCTCATAATCCCAAAGTGACACTGAAGCCATGAAACTGATCATTGTCATGAGGTACATGTTAATTCTGTTAATGTTCATGGTCAATGGCCATCCCAACCTACATCTTCAGTTGGTTTCTCACCATTGTGTATTGAGTTTCCCATACACATAGCTCATAAATGCCAGAGCACTTGTTGGGTGCTTTCATAAGGACTGCTTGCTAACTTATTTTGCTAGCAAACAATTGAGAACAATCTTGGTTCCCCATGTTTTCTTGTCACTAGAGGGATCCTGTTGAAATGCAAAATCACTCAGGAAATGAGTTCCAAGATTTTTTTCACATGAAAAAGACAAGATGTGAAACAACAGGTGTTAGAAAGTTGGCTTTTGTTTAAAAATTTCAAAGGCCCCGCTGGCATGGCTCAGTGGTTGAACATCAACCTATGAACCAGGGGGGTCACGGTTCGATTCCTGGTAGACACATGCTGGGGTTGTGGGCTCAGTCCCTAGTGTGGGGCGAGTGCAGGAGGCAATCAATCAATGTCTCTCTCACATCAATGTTTTTCTCTTTCTGTCTCCCCTTCCCTTCCACTATCTCTAAAAATCAATGGAATCTCCTCAGGTGAGGATTAACAAAACAAAAAATTCAAATATATGAAATATTATACTTAAGTATGCATAGAATGCTTTAGGGAAAATAGTCTAGAAACCAGAAATGGTAGCTGCTGGGGAGGAGACTGAAAATTTCAGGCTCTGGGTGAGAAATAGATCCAGTTTCCATTATAGCACTATGGATATCCTTTGCTTTAGTTTGTTTTGCCTCCTCCAAACCAACCAACCTGATCTGATTGAAGTACAAATTCATGACATTTTGTCATCACAAATAATTTTGTTTTCACCTGCTATTAAGTGAATAATGAAATACAGAGCTAAATGAAAGGGAAGTTAACTCGCTAAAATTGTGAAACAGAAATGTCAACACTTTGACATATTTCTTCTTCACCACCAGAGATTTCCTTTTTCCTACAAACAATCCACATTATTTTTTCAGTTTAAAAGTTAGTCATGGATGGAAGCCAGTTTTTAACAGCCTCGAAAAGAAGGGCAAACAGCTGTCAAGGTGTTGCAAAACTGCTTAGAAAACCTTGGGCCAATTTCATGCTTTCATTTCAGGAAAGCTGGGCAGTTTACTTTTCCGTCTCTCGGACACATAGCAGTAAGTCTGTGCTATGGTTGAATTCTATTTTTATTTAAGAAAAAAATTCGTTGAGCATTCCTTCCATATCTCTGCCATGGTTACCTGCGTAGACAGCAGGTTTGTCTTGTCATCCTGAGTATCTTCACTCTTTATCCTCCGCTGCTGCCCCAGCAGGACCTCCTGGTGGTGGTGCTCAGCTCTGGGGAAGCCCTGGTGTCTGGAGAAGAGACATGCTTATATGAATGATATTTTCCTTGAAGCAGAGCAACTATCCAAATCAATCAACTCTCTTTCCTTATGGGCTCATATAAAGAATTCCTGTGTTCTGGTCTGGCTGGTGTGGCTGGATGATTGGGCTTGATTCCCAGTCAGGGCATATGCTCAGGTTGCAGGCTCAATCCCCAAGTGAGGGGTGTGTAGGAGGCAGCCGATCAATGATGCTCTCTCATCATTGATGTTTCTCCCATCCAAGTACTAACCAGGCCCGACCCTGCTTAGCTTCCGAGATCAGACGAGATCAGGCACGTTCAGGGTGGTATGGCCGTAGACTCATCATTGATGTTTCTATCTCTCTCTATCTCTCTGTTTGTCTCTGAAATCAATAAAATATATTTAAAACAAAACAACAACAAAAGATTTTTCCTGAGTTCTGAATATTCTAAAAAATATTTTTTGATTAATCAATACCTGAAAAAGTTATTTTTTGTTGTTTTTTTTTGGAAATTGTATATTAGCTTGTTGAGTGTTTTTGTTTGTTTGTTTTGGAGGAGTGATGTAAAAATATTATAACAATAGATATGCAAATGATGATTACTTTATATACGGTTTTAATGTATGTATAGACATAAATGGTTAATATACTTATAGACATAAATATTATGCAGTTTTTAAATTTTGAAAGCAGTTTCATAGACTGCATAACAAGATCTTTTGGCCTTTCAAAGATAATTTTAAAAACAAAATCATGCAGAAAATGTTATTCATTTGCTCATTCTTTCATCTAGTCATTTACTCAACAGTGTATATTGAGTGTACCCTGTGTAATAGGTACAGATTAGGTAATGAAAATAGGAAGAGCAAAAAGAAAAAACCCATTCCCTGCCCAATGGTATTTTACAATGCAATAGAAGAGATATAACATATGTGTAACCTAGTGCAATAAGCACTATAGGAGCTGTGGAGTTAGCTGCATCCAATAGAGTGTCAGTTTGCTATTACTGTGTAACAAACATCCCCAAACCCTCCATAGCATACAACACTAATTATTTATTTTGCTCATGAGTCTGAGAGTTGTGTCAGTGTCAACTGATCTAGGTTGGCTCAGCTGGGGTGACTCTACTCAGCTCCATACAGCCCTCGTCCTCCACTGGAATGAATAGGTTAATCTGCACCTTTTTTTTTTTAATTGTTATTCTGATAGCATAGAAACAAGCAAGAATTCACATGGAATAAGGCCTACACACTAATTGGCCACTGTCACTTCTTCCCATATTCCATTGGCCAAAGTAAATCATGTGGCTGAACCCAAAGTTAAAGAGTTGAGAAATAATAGATTCCATCCATTTGTAGGGAAGAACTACAAATTTACTTTGAAAAATGACTTGAATAAGGGAGGCATAAACTATTTGGACTATTAATATAATCAATCTATCAGAGAAGGGTACAGAGTGATAAATAATTGGCTGTGATTCTAGCAAGAGACATACAGAAAAGAGGTGAGCATCTATTTTTTGTTTTACCATCATGCATCTTATTATTATTTCATCAATATATTTTGATCTGTTGACATAGGTTGTAAGTTATTTGTGAACAGGCATGTCTTCTGTGACCTCTGCCATGCTTTGGCTCATATTAGCTAATTAACTAATTAACTGATTGTTAATAATGGACTCAGGCCAGGCTATGGTGGCTCAGTGGATGAGCATCAAACTATGAACCAGGAGGTCACAGTTTGATTCCTGGTCAGGGCATATACCTGGATTGCAGGCTTGATTCCCAGTGGGAAGTGTGCAGGAGGTAACCAATCAAAGATTCTTTCTCATCATTGATGTTTCTATTTCTCCTCCCTTTCTCTCTGAAATCAATAAAAACATTTAAAAAAAATAATGGACTCAGCTGAAACCGGTTTAGCTCAGTGGATAGAGCATCAGCCTGCAGACTGAAGGGTCCCAGGTTCGATTCCAGTCAAGGGCATGTACCTTGGTTGCTGGGAGGTGTGCAGGAGGCAACTGATCAATGATTCTTTCTCATTGATATTTCTAACTCTCTCTCCCTCTTCCTTCTTCTCTGTAAAAAATCAATAAAATATATATTTTTTAAAAATAATGGACTCAGGGAAACAGAACTATAATGAAGGTACAGGTACCGGGTATAATATCATTCTTTTCAGAAATAACTTCTGGCTTCTATAATCACAACAGGTAAAAACACTCTTCCTAATAAATAGTTGAATTCACTAAATTTGCTTGAAATAAGTCCCTCTTGATGTGTGGATTTATACTGTCTTAAAATTTTTATTCCAAATATTACTGTTTCTCTTACTAGTATTTCATTAATTCCAAGATGATGTGATTTGTATATTTTTTTAAAAAACATATTTTTATTGATTTCAGAGAGGAAAGGAGAGGGAGAAAGAGATAGAAACATCAGAGTTGATAGAGAATCATTGACCAGCCGCCTCCTGCATGACTCACACTGGTAATCAAGCCCACAACCGGACATGCACCCTGACGGGCAATTGAACCGTGACCATAGGTTGCCACTCAACCACTGAGCCATGCCAGCTGGTATGATATGTTTTATTTATCTCTCAAGAAAAAATAACTCAATATCTGCATTGCCAAATATTGGACTCCACATTAAACTGAAAAATATCACCTGAAACCAAAAAATAGTTATAGCATTCAATTTAAATTTCCTGAGAAGTTCATTGAAGACCTATGGTAAGTATCCTCATGTGGGTGAGCATCTTACCAAATTGCAGGGCTTTCATGGTAATAAAAATAAATTTCCTGCTTTCAGAAAGAAGAGCTAAAATCATGAGTTTTTATTTCTAAATTTCTACTGATCACATCTGTGACATTAGTTGTCCCAAAACTGCCATCTCCCCCCACCCCCCATATAGGTTAGTATGGGCTGAGTCATGCTGTGTTTAAAAAACCAGAACCATTGTTTGAAACACCATGTCCATCGTAGGTCAGCCAGGGCTCCATGCCACATCCTGTCAGCCTTCCTCCAGAATCCAGGCCAATGGAGCCCCCGTCCGCTGGTCATCATGACAGAGAGGAAAGAGCTCAGGAAGTGGCCCAATGGCCTTTGCTGTATTCATTGGCCAGCATGAGTCACAGTTCAGTTATTTCAGGACCTGAGCCTCAGCCTCCTCAACTGTAAAACAAAGATAAGAGTAGAACCCATCTTACAGGGGTTGTGATGGTTAAATAAGATATACATGTAAGTACAGCACTGTCCAGGAGCACTTTCTGAGGTGATAGAAATGTTCTATATCTAACTGATAGGGTAGCCATTAGCCACAGGTGGCAATAGAGCGCTTGGCATATAACTAGTGTGACTGAGGAACTGAATTATTATTATTATTATTATTATTATTATTATTTTAAATATATTTTATTGATTTTTTCACAGGGAGGAAGAGAGAGGGACAGGGAGTTAGAAACATCGATGAGAGATAATCATCAATCAGCTGCCTCTTGCACACCCCCCACTGGAGATGTGCCTGCAACCAAGGTACATGCCCTTGACCGGGAATCAGGACGTTTCAATCCATAGGCCGACGCTCTACCCACTGAGCCAAACCAGTTTCAGCAGAACTGAATTATTCATTTTATTTCATTGTAATTCATTTTAATTTACATAGCCCCATGTGGCTAGTAGCTATTGCATCAGACAATGCAGATTTAGAAAACTGCATAACAAACTGCCCAATTGTTCGGAGCATCATCCTGATGTGCCAGGATTGTGGATTCAATCCCTGGTCAGGGCATATACAAGAATCAACTAATGAATGCATAAATAAGTGGAACAAGAAATCAGCCAGAACTGGTTTGGCTCAGTAGATAGAGCGTCGGCCTGCAGACTAAAAGGTCCCAGGTTCGATTCCCAGTCAAGGGCATGTACCTTGGTTGCAGGCACATCCTCAGTGGGTGTGTAAGAGGCAACTGATCGATGATTCTCTCTCATCGATGTTTCTAACTCTCTCTTCCTCTCTGTAAAAAAAACCAATAAAATATATTTTAAAAAAGAAATCAATGTGCTAATGTGCTGTCTCCCTTTGTCTCTCTCTGTAAAAAATCAACCAATAAATTAAAAAAATGCATAACACATAGTGACCACCCAACAAGGGTTAGTTCTAGGTGTTAAATTGTTGTAGCCAAGTAGAGAAAAAAAGAATGCGCCCCAGGGAAAATAGAAAAGGCTTGCACTAGAAGGAATGTTAGAGAAATGCCCCTTCATTTTACCTTTGGGTAATAGCTTCATAGAGAAGATCTACAATCATTTAAAGGAGAAATTGGGAACCACAATTCTTTTTGTCTCCTTTGCCTGGGCGTAAAAGGTCACTCCTTACATAGAGACAATCACGTAGGCAGCATCCCATCAGGGAAGGTGTGTAAGTGATTAGTCACCTCATCTTCCAGTCTTCTATGGCTCAGCATTAAAATATATATATATATATATATATATATATATATATATATATATATATATATATATTTTTTTTTTTTTTTTAGCCCTAGCCAGTTTGGCTCAGCAGATAGAGCGTTGGCCTGTGGACCAAAGGGTCCCGGGTTTGATTCCAGTCAAGGGCATGCACCTTGGTTGCAGGCTCTTCCCTGGCCCAGGCCCTGGTTAAGGTTCATACAGAAGACAACCAATCGATGTGTTTCTTTCACATCAATATTTCTCTCTGTCTTTCCCTCTCTCTAAAAATGGTGCCCTAGCCGGTTTGGCTCAGTGGATAGAGCATCAGCCTGTGGACTGAAGGGTCCCAGGTTCAATTTCAGCCAAGGGCACATGCCCAGGTTGCAGGCTTGATCCTTAGTAAAGGGGGAGGGGGGGCGGGCAATGAGAACCTGCAATCTGGGCATGTGCCCTGACAAGGAATCAAAACACGACCTCCTTGTTCATAGGTCGATTCTCAAACACTGGGCCACACTGGCCAGGCACAAACAAATTTTATTTCTCATAGTTCTGGAGGCTGGC